ATTTCTCAGATTATTCTATTTATCGAATTTAATTATGAGATTATATTTACTTATTTTTGTTTATAAATGGATTTATAAAACGAAATTAATTATTCCAAGATGACGAGTAATTGAAATCGGGTATATTTCGATTAATCGTTCAAGAAAAGCTTTGAATCGAACCGAGCATGTTCGTTCGTAGGTTGAGCTTTAGTACTAATAATTAGAATAGTTTATGAATAAAGAGGTGACAAATCAAGAATCCTTACCTTATGATTTAACAGATATTAGTTGTTCAGCTGATTTATTTCAATACTGGGAATAATAATACAAGTCAACCGGACATAGAGCATCTATTAGTTCAGTTATATCTTTCAGCCAGCTATATTACTGTTAATATTCGAAGCTATGACAATTATCAGATTAGTTGTTCAATTATCAGATTTTGTTCAACCACACCATCAATCTTGTCGAGAATATTAGTTGATATGTATCTAAGTCAACTAGACAATTAGCATCATACAGATGAGAGAAGATCAACTAATATTCTGTATACATTTTATCTGATATTATAAATGCGGGTTTAATTGATAGGAGTAGGGGAGAATTGAAAACTCTCAAACTCATAATCAAATTAAAGATAAGCCGAGAGATAAAGAAGAGTTTTTCTGCATTTTTGTCACTATAGAAGATTATTTTCTTGTCGACTTCGGGTGTCCCGTCGGGACTCGATAAGTGAAGCTAACATTAGCGATAAGTGCTTTTGTGAAAGCACGAGAAGAGGAGAAGCCGTTGGTGGTATCGATTTATTATTTCGAGGTTCCGATCATTTATTTTTAGCTCACTTTAGTCGTATTGAAAAGAAGCTTCGGCCGTCTTTTCCGACGGAATTCCGTTCCCGTTGTTTCGTTAGATTTCTTTAACCGAGCTCGTATTTTTCCGAAGACGGGTAATATTTCCGAACCCTCTCATTATTGCGGTCGTGCTCGTATATTACATGTTATATATATATATATATATATATCGTTCGGACTACTGAATCCTTGTTTGAAGTTGAATTTCTTTCAACTTTTATATGCATGATTTAATGCTCTTTTGTGCTGTAATTATGACCATCAAAAACTCGTAATTTGTTGTTATGGTCTTCTGATGAAATTTAGTATTTTCTGTTGGATTTCTTAAGGTTTTGGAATTTTGATAATCCGAGTTATATCGAGTGAGTTATGATTTTTATAAAATGAGTGCGCAAGCAGTTTTTTTTCGAAAATCCGGCAGCTTATATTTATAAATGTTTTTCCTGTTTATGGTATCTTAATGTGCTCAAATGAGTTTATAGTCTTCATAAAAGTTGTAGGTCTATTGATTAGCTTTCTAAAGAGATAAGATTCATGCTGAGGTGATATATGTAGCTCGCGTTGTGATAATTTGAATGTAGATATGCATGAAGTAGGATTTTATACTTGGACAGAATTTGATGTTTAAATGTTAACAGTTTTTACACTATCTTAATGGCTTTATATGCTTTTGGTTTTATCATAAGAATTGTAGATGTATGTCTTAGGATTCTAATACAACTTTAATCAGGTTAATATGATTTATGTGCTACAAGTGGTGTCGAATTCAAAATCGCTGCACGAGTAATGTTTTGAAAAATTCATGTAGTATTATCTAAAATAAAATTTATCTTTTTAATGCTTACTTCTATGACTTATATGACCTGAATTGATCTAAGTGTTTTTGATATGAACCTTAAATGACATGAGTTAGTTAGTATTGGGTCGATAGTTATTGATAGGGACCTCTTAATTATTGTAGGTGTTTGACGAGCCGAGCTCTCAACTTACTCGTATTTTTCCGTGATATCTGTTGCTTCAAACCAGGTGGGTTTACTTATAAAATTTGTTATGCCGTATGTATTTTATTTAATGTTGGGTTGGTATGTTCTAAGTATGCATGTAAACCATGTAGCCTATCGGCGTGAGCCGATTCGGCCGTCGGTACGGTTGTTCCCGTCGATGTAATACGGTTACCCTTGCGAGGTAAGTCCCTTAAGACCTAATGAAAGACCGTGTCCGTAGCGTGGCACATACCCCCACCGTTAGGGTAATGAATCCCCTTTCTGTGGCTAATGAAAGATGTGTACACAGGGGTAATATATTGTGATATGATATGGGGATATGACAGGTAATTGATTTATGTTCATACTGCGACCATGCCTTCTTTACATTATTCATTATTGTGCTATACGTGCATAGTGGTGAGCACCTCGTTTTCATCTTGTGTTCATCCTCACCTGCTCTTCACGGATGCAGGTTAAGCAGGTGTCGGCTGACGAGGAAAGACGAGTGGGTCGATCTATTGATTATGCCTATATATTTCGCTTCCGTTAGAATAAATGAGGTTCCGTTGAACCTTTTATGTTGAGGCTTGTGAAAATTTTATTAAAAACTTATGACTTGTTTTGATGTTGGGAATACTTGATAGACCCTTGTTTATGATGTTTGGTTTTTATGAGGTTTGAATATTTCATGTTGAGTATTTTTTTATGTGATATGATTTGGGTTAATGAAAAACTTGTGAAAACCGGATAATGAATCTCCGTGGGCCCAGATAAGACTTGGGTTATGAAAAATATTGTTTAACACCCGTTAGATTTCGAAAATGATCTCGAAAAACTATTTTATGATTTTTGGAAAGTCCGTAATTTCTTTAAAATCAAAGTGGGGTGTTACATAAGAGCTCGAGCTCGAGCTCAAACACCTTAAGCTCGAGCTTGGCTCGGCTCGTTTACAGTCCTAATTGGTACACCAGTGACGAGCAAAACAACTTTATCAGGGATTCATATGGAAATTTACATGTCATAAATAAAAAAATATGAATTAACATGTGATATAATTTACTTATATAACTTTGTTGTAAATAATATAGAATTATTATGTATAGAAGAACATAAGATATTTGCATTTAAAATATTGAAAACACCTAAAATGTTATATAACGTATGTAAAAATATCTAAAAAATTCTATATTATTCTTAAACAAACAACTAAAATATTATATAGCATATATAACAATATTGAAATAACACGTCAGTTTTCTAAACCTTTATAAAGAAAATATGCCTACAAACACTTAAATTTAACATATATGTATATATATATATATATATAAAGCTGAATTTTATGAGAGAATATAGATAAAATAAATATATGACATACGAAAATCGTATTTGTTATCAATTCAAAATATTTTGAAAAATTGTTTATTTTTATTTTTTATTTTTTTTATGTTTATGCGTAATAAATATTTAGATACTAGAATCATCATAAAAAAAAGGTTTGAGTACAAAACATTTTCAAAATAAGTGCATATGGAGATTTATGCATAATAAATATTTACATACCAGAATTATCATAAAAAAAAATGTGAGTACCAAATATTTTAAAACATAATGCATAATAAATATTTAGATAACAGAAAACAAGATGTGAGTGCAAAATAATTTAAAAATTAGTTTTAAGTGCACGCAGAGATTTGTGGATATAGATATGGAATTATGTGTGAGTACAGAATGTTTTGAAAATTAGTTTTCTTACATTTAGCAAATGCACGAGATTTATGCCTAATAAATATTGAAATACCAGTACCAGAATTATGAATATTATTGAGAAGTGGCGTAACACAATTTAGTACATTTAAAGAAAAAAAATGTTAGCTTAAAGAAATGATTGTATGCGCCCAATATTTGTGCATCAAATTGAATACTGCATTTAATGCTGCATCTTTTATTACTATTTATAGTATATTAAATATTTTTGGCAGCAATTACTTTCTAAATGTAGTCATATATATATATATATATATATATATATATATATATATATATATATATATATATATATATATATATATATTTGTGTGTGTGTGTGGAATTTTCAGGTAGCTAGTATCGTATTATGCGGGACGAAGATAGTAAATGAGTTGTTTTTGTAGGGTTTTATCTAAAAAGCCAATATACTTGCATCATCTAATTTTCACCCATTTTGGTCAGCATTGGTTCTACCTCTTTTAATCAACATTGTTTTTTAGACAAGTTAACTTGATTCTGTCGGCGTTAGTATGTAAATTAATTAATATATTGTCCCATTGATACATTTATATTGATATTAATTTGATTTTAGTATATATTTTTATTTCTTGATATAAGAAAAAATAATATATGTACTTATTTTTTAATCTTATAATACTAAATTACTATTTTATTATAAAATTTGTTGTCATGTAAACATTATTATTCTTATTTAGAAAATTTATAGTAGTCTTCTTCTTCTTTTTAGTTTTAAAAAATATTTAATATACATCAATATTATTTATTATAATAATTAATTTAAATTATGTGAACAAATTTAAAATAAAATATTGTGTATAGATATTGTACAAAATATGAACACATGTATTTTTAGAATTTAGCTTTTATAATAACTAACAACTTTGATTTAGCTATTTTAAAAACCTAAACCCCTCTGAATAATCTCTTGATATTTGTAATTTTCATCCTAAGGATGTGTAATTTATTTAGCTTACAATACAATTAAAATATATTTTTACAATAATTTAATTATGAAAATAAATAAAAATAAATAAATGATAAAAATAATTTAATATATATAAAAATAAATCACATGTTAAAATTCTAAAGAATACTTATTATATTTCAATCTTATTATAATGATAAATTATATTAACTTTAAAAATATTTTTTTTCCGTACATAATGAAATAAAGCTTAATAAAAAATATACTATTTGACAAAATAAATCACCAATTATGCCAGTCTTCTAAAATGGGCCCAGCCCATCAGAACTACGACCCGTTAACATACACACGACGGTTTTCGTTTTTCTTTTTTCTTTTTTTTTTTTCTATAAATTTAATTAAAATCAAATTACATATCCATCACAGAAAATTTCCGGCGACCTTTCGACGGGGATTCACAGCAAACATTTACCAGGTAGCAATACAATGGAGGATGATGCCGACGTATACGACGGAATAAGGTCTCAGTTCCCTTTGAGCTTTGGGAAGCAACCGAAATCTCAGAAGTCTCTTGAACTCATCCACAACGCCACCCGCCGGACCACCGGTGCCTCCGCAAGTGATTCCGCCGGTGGTAAAGCGTCGGCGTCTGAAAAAGCAAATGCGCTCCCATCTCTATCCAAATCCTCCCAAGATTGGATAGACTCCTTCAAAAGTTCAAACCCTAAAAATTCGAAGAGGGCTAGCGATGAGGATAGAATGATTGGCCCTTCCCGGCCACCAGTGGGTTTGGAGGAGGAGGATGATCGGATGGTTGGGCCGCCTAGGCCGCCTCCTGGTAGTAGAGCTGAGGATGAGGATGGTGGCCCTGTAATCGGGCCACCGAGACCTCCTCCTAATGGACTAGAGGGCAACGATGATGAGCACGTGATTGGGCCGCCCAGACCACCTCCTGGTGGAGATGGGTCGGATGATGATGATGGGCCGGTTATTGGCCCGCCCAGGCCGCCTCCAGGAGCCGTAGAGACTGATTCTGAGGGAGATTTGGATGAAGAAGACGATGATTCTGGATATCGTATACCGTTGAGCAATGAGATTGTACTGAAAGGGCATACCAAGGTAAAATATTCTTTTTGGATTTTACCAATCTTAATTTAGCTTGATGTCGACACTTGTTACTAGGTACTTAATCTCTGAAGACTGAATCTTTTGAACTTCTGATCAAGTCATTTTTTATTGCACTAACTATATCTACTTCATGTAGCAAGCATGTCATGTAGTTATCAGTATTGTTTCTTAATAACTATATCTAATTCATGTAGCAAGCATGTCATGTAGTTATCAGTATTGTATTTATGTTAGGGGTAAGTTCTATCTTAGAAGTCATAAAAGCTTAGAATCATAGCGATTTAGTGTTTGGATCAGTTTCCAAGAAAGTCGTTTGCCATGCAGTATGGTTTGCCAAAGTTTTCGTACTTCAATGTCTAATACAGTTTGTAACTTTGAAGTTTCTGAATCATCAGAAAGGTGAAATATGAATGTTCAGTCATCGATGGCTAACCATCAGACTTGCTTCACATTCTGTCCTTAATACCGTTTTGGATTAAGAAAAAGTTATAAGCTTGTTCGATAAAACAACTATTGATTGAAAAGGATGATTTTTCTATGCTACTTGCTATGAGATCTTATGACGCCTGCGTGGAATCTTC